GAACTAGGACAGTATGGCAGCAGGATACTGTGATCTTTCTCAAAGATACTCAGGTTTAAACATTGGTCCTCCTGAAACACCATGTTTGACTAAAGTTGAAATTAGAGTTCAGTGTCATCATCTACAAAACCGAGATCTAATGTCTAAATCCGATCCAATGGTTGTTTTGTTCATGCAGGAAGGAGAAAAATGGGTTCAGGTTAGATATTTGTAATATAAAAGTTTTTAATGCTTAAATATAGTTAAATTTTTATAGATGTTATTTTTTTCTGAAATTTTAGAATTATTGCTTACTCTTGCAAGTTTTAAACATCAAATTGTTAAGATGTTTGAAGTTATTTCCTTTTTCTGAGGTACAAATTGTGCACTTGTTAGAATTCTGATTATTCTTGGCGTGTTTGAAAATTTTTAAATTTATTTATTTAGAAGGGACGTACTGAAAATGTGAAGAACAGTTTGGATCCAGAATTTAGTAAAACATTTGATTTGGACTATTTCTTTGAAGAAGTACAGAACCTTCGATTTGAAGTGTTTGATATTGATAATTCTACTCCTGAACTTTCAGACGACGATTTTCTTGGTGTAATTAATTGTACCTTAGGACAGGTAGGGAATTTGTCTAGATACTATAATAACTAATAAGTTTTTATACTTTAGCTTCCAGTTATTAGAATATGTAGACCTAATATTTCGTTTCTATTTTATTAGTGTGTGTTATATTATTCTATATATATCACAAAACTGTTATTTACCAGAGTGTACAAGTTAATAATTCATTGTGCTATTTTTCTAGAACATAAAAAAAAACAACAACAAAATATAAACTGTTTAAAATAATCTAACATCAACAGTTGTTGAAAGAAAAAGGAAGAAATAAATAAAAAAGTTAGAAAAAGATACAAAGAAAACATTATCTTGTTTTTCAGGAAGACTTTCTGACTTTCCAGAGAAAATATACTAAAGGCCTTTACAGGTGAAACATCAGTGAAAGACTGAGTGTAATGATAAATACTTGTTTTTCTGATTGGATGGAGGCAATTAGTGGAGGTTTCAACTCTGTTGCAGAACCTTGTTGTTTATTAAGCTTATAAAAAATGTTGATATATATATGGAATATAAACTTTAAAATTTGCCAATTATATTAGGTTTCTTGGTAAAGCTGATACTAATAACTATACTCTTTCAGAAGGTCTTAATACCTTTATTGAGTGACTGAATGTATGGAAAGTATGCTTCGATATTAGAAAGCGTATAGTAATGTACTTACAGTACAATTGGTATGGAGAAAAAAAATGACTGGCATTTTAATAACCTGAAATGTGAGTAGAAGGTTAAATATTTTTTTGTTTTTTCTGAGGGATACAAAACCATTGGTGAGTTGAATCAAGGATGCAATGTTGTGAAAGACTTGAGTAAACTAACTACAGTTATGTGCTTATGGAAGTCTTTGTGCGAACTGATAGGCTTAGTAATGTTAAGGGCCTACAGTAAGGTTGTGGCAAGTGGATATCAATCACTGTCATGAGCAGAATATAAATTCTGTTTAAGAAGTTGGCACACAGGATCACATACAAAAGTTGTAATGATTTTCAAACGAGACCCAAAACTCAAGCACTGTTTCTTCGGGAGAATAAAGGGTTATGTTTAATGGATGTAATGAAATATATAGAACAGACTTAGCTGAACTAGTACTTACACTTAACGGTTTTGAATTTAATAATGAGTTATATATTCAAACAAAAGGCACAGCTATGGGAACCAAACTATGCCAACATTTTTATGAGAGACTTAGAGATGAAATTGTTGGAAACTTGCACAGACAAACCAACATTTTGTAGATGCTACATTGATGACATTTTTTCCATTTAGGTAGAAGATGCAGATTCATTACTGGTCTTTTATAGACTTTCCACAGTTCTATTAAACTTACTCTACATTATTCCACTACCCAAATAAGTTTCTTAGATGTAAACCTAACATTAAAAGATGGTGTTCTATGTACTGATTTGTACTGAAAACCAACAGATAAACCACAATACTAACATAATCAAAGCTGTCACCCTCTACACACCAAACACAATATCACATTCAATAAAGCACTTAGATTAAAAAAGATATGCTCTTAAAGTAAGATCTATGACCGTCACATTAATTCTTTGAAATAGACTATGACTGAAAGAGATTATAAACAAAACACTATCACTCAACAACTTGACAAAGCTAACAGTATACCACATGAATCTGCCTTCAAACAATTACCTAAAACAAATTCTTCTCGTGTTCCACTGGTTATTACCTGTCACCCAAAACTAAATAACCTACCCCAGATACAAAAAAAAACACTTTTACCTCTTCCAACTTAATGATCAACTAAAATCGAGTTTTACAGAAGTTCCTTTCATTTCTTTCATAAAAAATAAAACTTTGCATTTAAGTTTACACCAGATGGAAGTCATTCTTGCAATAGCAAGCGATGCCAAGCCTGTAAGTTCATGCTAAAGTCAACTTTAAGTCTACACCAGATGGAAGTCATCCTTGCAATAGCAAGCGATGCCAAGCCTGTAAGTTCATGCAGGAAACGGACAAATTTTCTGATAAAGACAACCAAAAGCAGTTCAAAATCACAAAACTTAATCCAATGCTGAAGATGCATCTTCCAGTATGTAGGTCAAACCAAAACAACTATACAGAAACCTTTTAATAACCACAAATCAACAATCAAAATAAACATAGAATTTCTGGTCGCAAAACACTTTAACATGCCTGGACACACTCTTGAAGACATTAAACTGACAGGTATAG